TGATCGATGTCTAGGGCAGAAGAGCGACGTTGAAACTATCACCCGTGCCTCTGGCATTGCGCTTAGCTCTCGTGAAACAATCCGCTTAGCATCTTCTTCAAATAGAAAGATGTTAGCAAAGACAATAGTGGCTTCGCAAATGGGAGAATGCCGTGACATCGAAACATCTCTTACATCGACTTGCTTGAGCAGCACCTTACTGAGCCGTGGGTACTGCTTGCGTAGCTGCTGCATGCAACGTCGTCCAAGGGAGACGAGGTCCCTTCGCACCTCGATCCCGATGTACGTTCTGACTTTCGTTGTAAGTGCTACCTGTGCAAGCACGTTGCCAACACCAGCTCCAACGTCAAGGAAGACGTCAGCTCCGCCGAGCGGTCCGACGGCAGCAAGTAGAAGGGTGACACCGGACGGTAGCACCTCACCAGCATTGTCATATGTGCGCCCAGCGGGCTGGCGAACGTCGTGAGCGCTTATACTTCCAATGAAGATAAGCCTCTACTAGTGGGTCGACCAAGCTTCACCTAGTCATAGGTGAGCCTATTCGTGACGATAACCGGGTCAGTTGGTAGCCGTTCACGCCGTCTCAAAATCCAATTTTGAAAAAAAAAAGTGAAATGGTTTCTGACGACCAATGTATTCTGGCAGTGATCCATTTCCAAGCCAATACGCACGAAAGTAAAATCGTAACTAGGTCGTCAGCAGACAGCACGAAGACGAGTGGATTCGTGCTGCTAGGACAAACGAGCTGGATACGCCGCTTAGTTACAATAACTTGAATAATCTGGAATTGCTTCACGGTCCTACATGTGCGACGTAAAATATTGCAGTGTGTGTTGCTGCGAGATGCACTCAGTAGATTTGCTGGCTGGATCTGCCTTGAAATTTTCCAAGACGTCAATTAGCTCGAACGTGGGTGTATTCTGGATATGTCGTTATAATTTGCAGGGCATGTGCATTGATATTAGCCAAACTGGTTCGGAAATTGCACTATGCATACGCTGAGCTGGCTTAGCAATTTTCTTTTTCACGTTTAACGGTGTGATCGGAAACTCATTGAGCACGTTGTAGGACATATTGAGTAGAAGTAGTCATACTTCGAGTTTCACACAGTCTTCTAAATTTAGTACTATTCTTAAGTCGACGATGCACTGATATTCTAGCAAGTTGTTAATCCTTGAAAACGACCCACCAAATTGCCGGCGTGAAGCGCGAAATAAGGACTTAAATTTCTTGAGTATTTTACGGACGTAAAACGTTGAACTGACTGTATCTTAGTGATCGGGTTGATATTCATGCTCAATTTCGTGGGAATACAACGTTGCCATCATTATAGGGGGCTTCCGAATGCTTAGCCAATTTTGTGAATGAAAGGTTTAATTAAATGAGGTTAGTTGTGGAGTGGTAATAAGGCGAAGACAGCTTAACCCCTTGGTTACCAACGTCGTAACTTACGACGTAGTGAAAACCTTAAGTCGTAAGTTACGACTTAACTGTCAAGATAAACAGGAAATGGCTCAGATGCGACGATCACATACTTTAATCAAGTCTGTTTCTCTGCAAAAAAAATATAAGCTTGGAAAGGTAGTGGGCGACAGGGGAGAAAAAGGCTGTAGGTGGATTCACTGTCCCACTATCTGGGGACCGTACGTTTGGTGGACGGTGGATGTTCTCCACCAGTACAGAATTTGCGGGCTCAAGCAAAGATGCCGGTCAGAACAAGCAAGCGGTCAAAAGCTCAAGCAGAGGCGCTCTCAGGAATCGACGTGCGAGATGTGGATTTTGGTCATCTATGGCGTCAGCTCGTGCGTGTCGGATGGACGTCAAAGAGGCCAACGCGGCTGTCCAATTTGCACTCGTACTACCCACCGAACGCTGCAAAGGAGCTACACATCGAGGGCGTGAACATGTTTGTCGGTAAGTCTGATGTGGTTAGTCTATTGTGAGTGTGTCTAATACGTGCTCTGTGCTGTGTATGCGAAGGAGAACATGCGGTAGTAAAGTATGCGTTTGAACAGGGCATCATTGGCGCTGACGAGGGAGGTGCAGGCGACGACAGAGACGACGAGAGTGAAGAAGGTGAGCCAGAAGTTCCTGCAGAGTGTGAGAGGGTAACACCGTCTCAGATAGACACGAGTGTTGCTCTCTCAGCGAACACCGTTGAAGCATTGTTTGGATCCGATAGCGAGGACAGCGAGACACCTGCAGAACTTCCGCTATGCGCCACAAGTCCGCACATAGAGGATGAGAGCTCAAGGGCGTCACAGATAGACACAAGTATTGCGCTTGCAGCAAACACCATAGACGAGATATTTTGTGGAGCTATGAGCGGTGATGAACCTGATGTAGCGCTGTCACTATGCGCCGGTCAAAATGGTGCTGTTGTCGAGCCTGTGACACCAACAAACTCGAGACGAAACGATGAGCGAACAAACTCGAGAGAAGATCGTGGCTTGCTACAAGAGGACGTGAACATCATGAAGGACGAGGACAATGCAGACGAGTATGAGAGCATGGACTCGGAGTCGGATGGCTTTGGATCAGATGATGATAGTGATATTGTTCAAAGACAAATTGGTGACGACGTGTCATCTGACGAAGAAGAGGCGCCTCTTATGGATGCAGCATTTATTGATTGCTTGGGGGGTTCTCTATCTATCGAAGACATGAACCAGATTACACTTCGTTCGATGGCGTGGACTCCTGCATCCTCCGAGTATGAAACCGACAATAGCGCGTTCAAAGATATGAAGGATCAAGCGGCTAGGCCTGTGGAAGCACTTCGTGCTAAAAAGGATTCTCCATTGGAATTGCTATTCTATTTTATGCCGGTGAACCTGTGGACATTCATCACGAGCGAGACAAACAGATACAAAAGGTCACACCTCGAGGAAAAGGCGCGCCAAGAGCGTGCACGTCTCGTTCGTGAAGGACGCAGCGTACCAGGTCAAACGCTACGGGATGTTCGCCGCCGCATACGAGTCGAACCTGATTACGTACCGCGCGAGATTCTTTGTGTCATGGGTCTACTTGTAGCTCATATGCTCAGCCCTACCCGTCCGTTTTCAGATCACTGGGCTATGACCGATGATGGCGCGCTTTCGGCGGGACGGTTTGGCAATTTCATTTCTCGAAATCGCTGTACTTCTATCCTACGAGATCTACATTTCTGCAACAATGACACAGCTGACAAAAGAGACAAGTTGTGGAAACTGCGAGCTGTTGTTGACGTACTTCAAATGACATTCCTAGCTGCGTGGATAGTGGCTGCAATCATCTCTTTCGACGAAGGTGTACTTCCTCAAACGTCCAAGCGTAACAGTACCCGTATGTTTATGCCGGACAAGCCGCACCGTTATGGCACCAAGATGTTCATGACGTGCGACGCAGTGTCTGCTTACTGCCACAGGTGCGCATTTTTTTTATAAATGTTGCAAAGTCGTAAGTTATGACTTGATGGTCTGACATTTGCATTATGTTGTCACTTACGACTTTAGATTCGAGATATATGTAGGGAAGCGTCAAAACCATGAAAGTGCAAGTCAGGCGTTTGACCACAAGACAGGAGCAGCCGCTGTAATTCGAAATTTGAAGGCTGTGTTGGATGAGAACGACCCCGGATTTCGTGTCATTGTTGTCGACAGATTCTACACCTCCGTTGCTCTCGCCATTCAACTACTTTCGATGTCGGTCTACATGATTGGAACAATCATGACGTCAAGGCTGGGATTCGACAAGCACGTCGTTGAGCGAAGGAAAACACGACCAACCACAGTAGAGCGCGGGTCATTCACGTACTCAAGGTCGGTTGCGGTGCCCACCATGGTTGCATGCCACTGGTGGGACCGCAAGCCTGTGCACTACCTGGCCACTGGGGTGTCAATGGCCGAAGATACCATCAAGAGAAACCTGAAGACGGTGGGGCAGTCGACGTTCAGCTGTCCCAAACTGGTGACCGATTACCAGCGCTGGATGGGCGGAGTTGATGTGCATGATCAACTCCGCCTTCAAACGTTCTCCGTCCAGACTTCTTTCAGGTTCCGAAAGTACTATAAGGGTCTATTCTTAGGTCTGTTTGACTTAGCGCTTGTAAACGCGTACATCACACACAAGGAGGCCTGTCGCCTCGATGGCGTCGCCCCAATGAAGCGCGTGGACTGGTACAAGTTGCTGCACAAGCAGCTCACGCAGCTCACGGACGAAGACTTCAAAACAGCAGCGCCATCACCGTCTCCAAGCGCGCCAAAGCGCCGCCGCAACGCTTCCCACGTACACAAGCAGCTTGATGATTGGGTGATTGTATCGGGCGTTCAGAAGCGGCGCCAGCGCTCTTGCAAGGTGTGCTCCCTCTATCGAGGTGAGCAGAAGAAAAGCTACCAGACTACTTACTACTGTGAAGACTGCTCGCAGGGTGATGCAAAGTGCTTCCTCTGTCCCAAGGCGCGCAGAGGCACGGATACAACGTGTTTTCAAGTGTGGCACGACGACTTCGAATGTGGCGCGTCAATTCCGAGTCACCTAGGTAAGCGTGTCGTTCTGCGCCGTGCCCCCAAGGCCGCCGGAGTGCGAAAGAAGACACGTCGAGAAATCTTGTCTGAGGAGAAAGAAGAGAGCTAGTGAGCCTCCCGTACGGTTTTTAGCAATGCTACTAATGCATTTTGTTGAGTTTCATATGATTGCTGTGCTGTGTAGCTCCGTTTATAACTGTGTTTGTGGATTGTGATCCCGATCACATGATCGGCTAAGTTGTATCTGTGTACTTGTTAGTCAGCGATGCTGAAGTACGTCGTCAGTGTTACGACGTAAAAATCGGAAACCTCTGTATAACTTATAGTCCCATCTTAATGATTAGACAAGTGGAAAAGACAGACTAATACAAACTCCGAGATAATTGTATGCTGTAAGTTACGACGTAAAATAAGGCGGTTCGTGGCCTGAATTCGCGGTAATAAAGGGGTTAATGATTTAATTATTAATAACTACATGATATAAAGGAAACAAATTTACAGCTCCTTGACGTCCTCGTACACGATCCATTTTTTCTCTCGATGATCGATATCGGTGTCTTGGGACGAAGACTTTTTCGCTACTTTTCCACTCGAAGAGCTCAGCTGTCGCTGCTGGTTTAAATTATCCATCGCAACCAGGTTGTCGCGAAAGCTGGAAGGTGATGTGAGTCCGAGTCCGGCATGATTCCGGCTCGACGAAGGACTCTCGGTACCAAAGTTGCGACCGCTATTGTCTCCACCAGATCTTCCCGCGGCCACGTCAATACTAGAGCTACTGCTGGTAGTGCCACCAGTACTGCTCTTGGCTCGCTTGGCCTTAGGAAGGTTTGTGCGGACCACTTTTTGCGTTACTTGAGGTGACGACGTCACCATTTCGTGTGTCGGCGTTAGAGCCTCACCAGTCGCTAGAACCTTCGTCGTTGTAGTTGCGGTAGTTGACTTCTTTTTATTCTTTTCAGAGGCATACGCTGCGTTGGTCGACGGATATGCCGACATCGCTTGGTTCTTCTCCATCGAAAACCGCAAGTTCACGATTGTGTTGGTCGGCGCTGTCGTACTGGAGTTCGTAACGAAGTCGAGCGACTGACCAGATCTCATCATCGAAGAAAAGGACGCACTGGAGGTGCGAATCTGTAGCATTTGCTGCAGATATACTACGATATCGGAGGCACTGGGACGCTCATTAGGGTCAGCGCGGAGACAACGGGCAGCTAACTCCAAGATTGCTGGTGGGCAGTCGTCCGAGAACACTGGACGCTTGGCACCACGAGCTACGAGACGGAGAATCTCGTTCTCCTGTGCCTTACCCTGCGGTGGGTGCTGTGCGTTCCAGTACGGGTAATCGTCCGTATCGATTTCAGAGAGGACGACGCCGAACGAGTAGATATCGGCACGCTCGTCGTAGTCACGGCCAAGAAGCACCTCGGGGGCGATCCAGAACGACGTACCAATGCCCACCGTCATGTGCTCGCTACCATCGTAGAAGGTACGTTCACGTGCGATGCCAAAGTCACTGAGTTTGGCCTCCATGTCGGCGTTAAGCAGCACATTCTTAGCCTTCAGGTCGCGGTGGATCACTGTCGGGTTCAGTCCGTGCAAATGTGTCAATGCCTCAGCGATGTGCAGCGCGATAACAGTCTTGTGCGTCTCCCAGGTGAGACGGTAGCCACGACGTTTGAATCGTCGAGTGACATCGCGCAGATCGCCACGTTCCATCAACTCCGTCACTGCTGAGAGCTCGGCGGGACTAGTCCAGCACGCACCGATGAATTCTACAATACGCGGGTGATTCAATCCCGATATGAGGGAAATTTCGCCGACGAACTGCTCCACTTGCTCGCGCTGGACACCGCGCTCGTTGCGGATCTTCTTCACCGCCACCTGTCGTCCACGGTAGCAGCCCACGAATACTAGACCGAAGCCACCACGACTAATGCAGCGACCAAGTGCCACCTCATCGTAGTCTAGCCGGCATGAAGCAAGGGCTTGGTTATTTAATAGAAGTGCACCCAGAGCAGTGTCCTCGCTATCAACGCTGTTACCGTGGGAGCGACCGTAACCGGGGAGAGCTACGACACTGGCGACACCGGCAACACCGGCAGCTTCAGTAGTGGGGGCAACTACATCGGCGTCCCGATTAAGTGCACCGAAAGCAGCGTGGGCATTAACTTTCGGGGTATTCGCCTCAAGTGCGTCGGGTGACACAAGGGGGCTGCTTTCACGCTCTTGGTTGTGACGGCGACGCTGCCAAATAACCAGTAGAAGCAGGAAGAAGACGATGATAGCACCAGCGATAAGCCAGTATCCCAGCAAGCCTAGTCCGCCGCTGACATCATCGCTACTCGATCCCGACGATGGCGATGAATCGGGTAGTGCAGCTGTAGACACACCGAGCACACAGAACGTAATTCCGTGTGCAGAATGCCAGGCACCGTCCTCACAAGTAGATGAGGAGTCTGGTTTGTCCGCTGTGAAGGCACTGAGCCCTCGGATCTGCTCGTACTGATCCTGACTCACGTTGAAGTCCTGGATGTTGTTACCCTGGATGTACAGTGCTTCCAGCCCGCTCGTATTGAGCGACCCCGCAGGGAACACTGCGAGCGCGTTGTGCGATAGATTGAGCTCTTTTAGATAAGCACCACCGATGTACTCGGTGTCAATGTTGTTCGAGGACAAGTCGAGGTACTGAAGCCAGCTCCAGTTACGTGTGAACGAGTGGCTTAGTGTCGAAATGTTGCAACTGCGCAAGGTCAGAGTCGTCGCCGATGCGGGGATCAAGTTCGAGTTCTTCTCCGCTACAGAGTTCAAATCCACGTTGTAGATCGAGATTGTCGAGACGTTGGTTGAGTTGTTCTCCGAGCGCACTAGCACCAGGGAAGACTCCGAATCCTCACGGTTCTCATTGATGAACGTGAGTTGGGCTGGGGTTTCGCCAACGCCTTCAATTTCCAGCGTCTCCAAGCTCGAGGAAACCCAGATCGAACTGACTGTGTTGAGAGCCAACTCACTGGAAGAAGACTGGGTTAGAGAACGAGTGGGGGTAGTTGTGGTTGAGTTCCAGGATTCCGTCGTGACGTGGAATGACCATGTGGAGGATGTCTCGCTGTAGCCCGTGATGCACGTACATGACGCATTGAGAGCCGTGAGCTCGTCCGGGCAACCACCATTTGGTGTCTCTGTACTGGAGCGCGTCACCAGAGCAGGGAGACCGTCGCACACGGCAGTTGATGTGAAGTTCACAGCATCAACGACAAGCTGTGTTTCTTCGTCACGGAAGTTGCGAGTGAACCAGCTTATCAGAGAGGACGAAGACGTTGAGGAGCTGAAGCTGCTAGACGTATTTAAACTGGAACCTCTTAGCAAATTCGTGGCAGAATTCGTTGTGACCTCCGACGAAGTTGTTGATGACGAGGAGGTTAGACTACTTACAGTAGATCCTTCACTCGTGATCGATCTCTTTGACCCGATGGACGAGGAGATCGCGTTAGTCGTTGCAGAACCGTAAGTAGACCCTGCCAATGAGTTGGTGGTCGTCATCGTTGTCGTGCTCATACTTGTGCTAGTCGAACTCATACCTGTGCTAGATGAAGCTGTCGCCGAACTAGAATTCGTTGATTCAGACGTACGAATCGTGCCAGCCGAATTAGCAGGTCCGGTTGATATCTCTCTGTTCATCGTGGCTTCGCTGGTGCGCGTCGAGCTGACTGCACTCGCTGCAGTTGAAGTGCTGGCACCTGTGCTAGTCCTTGAGGTCGTTGAAGTGGAAGTTCTTTCACTCGTGTTAGAACCACTTGATGTGGTAGCCCGAGTCATTGATCTACTGGCAGATCCGATCATGTCAGAGTCCGTTTTGGTCGTTGTCACTACTGTCGTGACACCCGTGACGGCATCTTCAGTCGTGGACGTACTGGTAGTGTTCGCCCCATTGTCCTTGACTACTGTAGTTACCGGAGAGGCTCCATTTGAACTTTCCGTAGTAGTTATCGTAGTCGCCACGATAAGATCTGCGCTTCCTTCGGTCGCAGTGTTACTCGACGTCGTGCTGTTGCTGGCACTCGACGTTCTTGTACTCACAGTCGTAGTCGTCACAGTGGTGATCACTTCTCCAGATGATGTAGTTTGCTTTTTCGTCGTCACCGACGTAAAATTGGATGAAGGTGCCACTGTGGCCGAGTATGCCGATGAGTTTATCTCCGTGTTCATACTTGCAAAGTTTCCGGTTACAAAGGAGGGAGATTGCAAGCCCCGCAGCGACACTTTGTGATAGCCTTTGTGCGAGGAGAACTTGGGTGGGTGACTTCGCCGTTAGACGTGAAATGCAGTTTGATGCTCACCCGGGGGAGCACCGATCTACCGGCACCTGCATCCGTCATGCTGAAGACAGGCCGAGAGGAAGGCGATGGTGGGGCCTAATGCACTAATGCGTGGTCTCGTTGGGGACGGTACATTTTCTTGGTGAAGACGGCCCGAGACTGTAGTAATGTCAATTACTACATCATTCCTCTGTACTCTTGACGCCTTTAAGAGCAGACTCAATACGTCCAGTAAAACGCACCGGCTTCCATCATCGGTTTCAAGTCATTTATGGTACCAGCCCATTTAGCACAGCGGGCTCATTTTGATGAGGCACCGCGCACGTTGATTTGAATCCGACTGGGTGATTTCGCATAAGTAGCCGGGCATATTCCGACCTTTTAGCTTACAGTACTGATTGCATGGTGGGCTTCTAAGGACCCATGCGTAACTTGTGCCCGAGTGCCACGGACGAATTGCACTAACGTGTCTCAACTGCAGCTACTTATGGACGTAACTACACTGCAAAACTTGTTGGTCTCTTGTCCTCACTTTATTTATAGTTCGATGGGGCTACATAGAGACCGGAAAGGCATAACTCCCAGTACAGGAGGGAAAGACACCAGTCGTCGAAGGTGATGGAAGAGGCCTGTAATACAGGAACACGCTGCATTAAGCTTGGTGGGGAACTTGTTCACTCTCACCAAGCAAACTGAAGTTTCATCGAAGTTTCATCGAAGAGTTGTAGGATGCTAGGGCGAGTGGAATGAGACGGCCGCCTAGGAGGTCGTTACCGTAGCTGTATGGGCAGAGAAATACGAGTACGATTTTTCCTTCCGGTGCCCGCATATGGACACTCCTTGTTTTGTCCATTTCCCAAAGACTACCTAGAGTGCAATTTCGAAAGGAGTAGCCAATCATCATCTGCAAGGGCTCCTGAATTTTGCGCCGCGAATACTCCAAAACTATATCAAAATTTGTAAAGGTAGGCCTAGTAAAAAAGGATTTAATAACAGGTTTTAAAATTAATTGTGCTTTCAGGCATAAAAACTTAGCCACGGCCATGCAAGCTCCCGGACTTGAGGAGCGCAAGAAGGCGTTGGAGAAGAAGTTTGTGGAGAAACGACCACCGCTAGCTTACGCAAAGCTAAGTGGCCGTGTGGAGGGCGACACACCGTTTGAGAAACTCATCACGCACCTTCCAGCGGAGCTTGGGCGCGGACCTATCTCGTCCGTGCCCGACCACCGCGTCGCTCTAGGAGAGCAGAAGGCCGTTTCAAGGCTGCACGCCCGCATCCAGTGGAGTCAGACGGACAGCTGCTTTGAGCTTCAGTGTCTGGGAAAGAATGGAATGTTTGCGGACGGCAAGTTCGTGACCAAGAACCAAACCATCAAGCTGAGCTCCAAGATGCCGCTGAAAATCGGCCATGCCAGAGTTTATTTCCTCTGCGCTATTCGCTCCACTATAAGCACTATGAGCGGGTTCAAAATTATTCAAAAGGTACGAGATATCGAGGAGGACAGCATGTAGTTTATTTCATTTTATAATATTTTTTTATTATTCTAGGCATTTGAGAAGGCCAAATATCACAAGGGAGTGACAACCATGACGGCAAATCAAGTGTGTGACCAGATTCTGGAGAGTTTTCCTAAAAGTGAGCACGAACTTGGTGGAAAGGAACATTTGAAGACTTTTGTCACGTGAGTTTTTGCCTAAACTATCTGAGCTCTTCTTTAGTTTAAGCTTATACATTTGTTGCTGTTATTGTGGGCAGATCGTACTTGCAGGAAGACACGGCGGCTTTTGAGCGCGTTGCAGGGGCCTCTCCGTTACCGGTTTATAAAATGAAGCCGGTGAGTGTTGGTGATTCAAAGAAGAACGTGCCAGTAAACTCAACGGTCAAGCCTGGGGAGACTGACGAGGCGGCACTGAAGAAGCAGAAGATTACTGCATAATTCTCTGTGGTTGGATGCTCCCTAAGCTGAAACAAGTGGATCATTTTTTGTAGTTTTGTCTTTTGTCAGAAGTATTCACTCTATTTCGTTATGTATTTCATAACTCCCGGATAGATATAACGGCTAGCTTACGCTCTTGAGAGGAAGCCATCCGTGACAATTTGATCTGGTTCGGGTTCCAGCTGAGACTTGGGGTCGAAGTTCATCTCGCGCATCAGTTCCTTGATCGTGAGCACGACTTCTGATGCGCTTGGTCGGTTGGTTGGCCTTCCTTCGAGACATCTTGACGCCAGCGCTAAGACTCCTGGCGGACAATCGTTGTAGAATGTCGGGCGCAACGAGCCAAGTGCCACTTTCTCGAGTATTTTCTTTTCCTGTGAACGCCGTTCGTCGGGGTTGTCTTGTGCTGGGGTACCAGAGTTCCAGTATGGGTAGTCGTCTGTGTCGATCTCGGAGAGCACGACACCAAAGGAGAAAATATCTGCTCGTTCGTCGTAATCTCTTCCCAACAAGACTTCTGGAGCAATCCAAAACGACGTACCAACACCTGGAGTCATGAATCGACCAGGCACGTCAGCGACGTTAGCCACTTGACGTTCTCGAGATACTCCAAAGTCGCTGAGTTTGGCCTCATAGGCGTTGTTCAGTAGCACGTTCTTGGACTTGAGATCACGGTGAATGACCTTGGGATTCAGCGAGTGCATGTACGCGAGTCCTTCTGCGATGTGAAGTGCAATGGTGAGTTTTCTGTCTTGCCACGTTAGTCCATTGTCGACTGTGCTTTCTCGGTGCTTTAAAATGTGAAGAACATCTCGTAAATCACCTCGTTCCATGTATTCCGTCACAGCACTTAAGTTTCGGAGAGAATCCCATGCAACGCCGATGAATTCCACGATGCGTTCATGTTTCAGTGCTCCCATGAGCGTAATCTCTCGAATGAACATCCGGATTTGAGATAGCTTCTCACATTTCTCGCGTATAATTTTCTTGATGGCCACACGTCGATGTTTGTACATGCCCACGTACACGAGTCCAAAGCCTCCCTTGCTGATGCAGCGACCCACATGGAGATCTTTGTATTTCAGTCGGAATGGTATGATCGCCGGGTCTTTGAGTAACTCCGCATACAGTGTCGGATGGAGCGAGTTGTAAAACGCCTGGATCGTTGTACTGTCACCGTCTCGCGAGGTCTGGACTTCCTCGACCACAGGTGAAGAAGAGGCTGCCTTGGACTGGCGCTCTTGTTGATGGTGTATGATTTTCGTTGCCACAAAGAACAGCAGAAAACCCACAAGACATCCACCAAAAGCAGCCACCAGCATGAATATCGTCCAATTGGTTGTGTCTTCCTTGGAATTTCCAGCTCCCACCTTCGGGTTAGAAGTGTTCATGCTGTTCACAACACAAAATTCTGTGTGGTGCACCTCCTGTCGCTCACCATTATCACAACCCTCTTCACCGGCGGGGGTATCAACTTGAAACATCGAAAGCTGTTCAAGCAGTGCAAGATCGTCGCTGGTGATAGTCAAGTTTGTGATGGGGTTACCACTCAAATCGCTGTTTAAAGTGACATTTTGAAAGTGAGTCGTGATATGATATTCTTGAGACGAAAAACACTGGCACGTACAGCTTTTGGAGATTTGGAAACTGAAGCAAATGGGTCGGGAATTCAGTAAAGCTGTTGTTTGCCAAATTGCTGATCAATTGGTTCACAATAAACAGTCAGCGGGAGCTTGAAAAACCAGAAAAAAATGTGCGGTTGCACTTACATTTCAGTCATTGCATTCACAGCCGCGGTGGATCCTGGCAAGCTGGAATAAATACTGGAAATCTTGTTGGCTGCTAGATTTCTAAAGAAATATTTTGGAAAGGTTAGGGACTGCAGGGACGTTGGGTTTAATCATAGTCAGTAGACGTACAGCGATTCTAGCGCGGCGAAGCTCTCCAGAAATGGCTGGCCAATGCTACTGAGATTACAGCGACGTATTGATCTACGATTTAAAAAAATTTACACGTCACTCAGCTCAATACCCAGCTCCATGAAAACAAAACGCCACTTACAAGCTTGTCAGTGTTGTGGGAACAAAGCCCGATGTTATCGGAATATCCGCGAGATCCAGATTATACAAGTCACTAGGAGATGACACGAAACAGCATCGAGTTAGATAAAAGCCTTTGAATTGCCGACACACTTGACAACATACACTTCAGTGAGAGACGACACGCCCTGAGTCCGAACAATTGCCAGGTTGTCGTCATCTGTCGTAGCCTTTGCTATATTCACTGGAACAGGGTTGCTGTTGTCTCCGTCTCCTTGTATTTTGCTGTTCAAGCAAGCTCAACTAATTAATATCTTTTGGACTTCGTAAATGATAACCAAAACGTACAAGGTGAGTAGATCTGAACGAACTTCGAGCATCGTCAACGAGCTCACTTGAACAGGATTTCCCTCACTGATCGATGTCGGGAACGGAGATTTAGGCTCAGCATCGGGTGCGCGAATGCACAAATCCCACACTGTCGTGTTCGTAAAGCCCGAAAGACAGGAGCACGAGAGATTATATCTGCTTTGCGCAGCCGAACAAGCACCATTGGCAGGGACTGTCGAGGACTTGAGTATTACCATTGGCTCACCGTCACAAACACTTTCCGTGAGCAGGGAATCCCGTATGATAGTCAGACGCTGCTCGTTTTCGTCCATAGTGGATGCGTAACCCCTTGCAATGTATGCAGCAGTGTCATCGTCACTGCTGTTATATCTGATCGTTGATGAAGAAGAGAATTTACCAGGCTGGAGAACACCTGGACGGGAGTTGGAGCTGGTAGCTGTAACCTGTGCTGTGATGACCTCGGAGAAAACGACTGTAATTCCGACGAAGCCTGCTATAGAACGAAGTACGCCGCGTCGGCGTGGAAGCATGACTGTACCGAACGATGCGGTTAAGGGTATGGATGGAGAGTAAGACTGTGGTCTGAAAGTGTGGAGGGCTTCCGAGGCACCACGCTCAAGCACTCTATGGGGAAGGAGCGATGGCGACTTAAAGACGGTCAAGCGCGCGAGTCCAACCAGTGGAATGGCAGATTCTCCGTTTCGTCTCCACAAAAATGTGCCTGCTTCGTTGTGTTGGCCTCGATCTGTCAAACGACACTGGATGTGCTCACCAGGACGCTCATATGCCTGCGATAATTTGGCGCGGTTGTGAAACACGCCAGCATCACGAGCCAGTGGGAGCCAAGCGTGGCCAGCGTTAGTGCTCAAACTTCACCATTTCTCCACCGAATCGTAGGGACGCACCGTTGAGCTTTAATCAAGTGCGCTGAACTTTCCGATACAACCAACTCAACTCAGCTGGCCACGGGTCAGCTAGGAACTGAAATGTGGAGGTGGTCGCATATATGATGAACCTTTCAGCGAAAAGCTTGTTTTTGTTGAATACTTCTTCTTTGTACAGTTAGACCTCCTTATTTGAACCTCTATAACTGACCACTACAGTAGCTCTTAACTTGAATGTAGTATCTCAAAGCAAACGAGACTATTAATTTACAGTACTGCACCCCGTTTTCGCGGGGGTGGACCATATAGGATTTGCAAATAAATCATATTTAAGCTTACAAACAATAGCTTATTTCATCACATCCGGAAGTTTATCATAGGTCCAAGGGCGCGAAAACGGGGTATGAGGTTCATTAAACCAGCCCCTTTAATTGACTAAAACCCTTTCTATTCGCAAAATGACAGTCAATTCCGGAGGTAAAACTCTAGGCGACCGTCCGCCAGCCATTGAATCCTTCTCACTTTTATATTCCAGCTGAATCCCGCAATCTTCCTTTTATAATCTCCGCTCGCACCATGACACCGCCACACTCAGCTTCGCTGACTCTAGACGAGAAGCTACAAGTATGCTTAAGGTCCCAGCGCAATCAACAGTTGAAGAATGTCGAGCTGCTCGAGTGGATACATTCAACCTTCAAAAAGTCGGTGAGTGACAGTACCGTACGACGCATCCACAACAAACAACCAGCACACTTCTGCAGCGCAAATGCGACTGCTACGCGGCGCCGCCGCGTGAAGTTCCCTGAGTTAGAGCGTCAACTCGTCGATTTTCTCCACCGCAGTGAGCAGGACAATATCATCTCAGACGACATATTACTCCTTAAAGGTGGAGATATAAAAGCCAGTCTTGGTATCGGCGATGATCAGCTACGACTAAGTAGCGGGTGACTACACCCGCTACTTATAGCCCGCTAGAGCTGTCAGCCTCCCCGTGCAAACGCTTCGCAGTGATGCCATTCAAAACCCGGAATGGCATCGCTGCGAAGCGTTTGCACGGGGAGGCTGACAGCTCTAGCGGGCAGAAGTGCGCTCGGCGCGCTACACACTACAGGAAGTGACTTGCAACTACAAACCCGACGACATCTACAACTTTGATGAGAGTGCGCTTTTCTATCGTCTAGCTCCCAGCCAGACAATGAGCAGAAAAGGAAAGAAACGCGATAAAGCTCGTATCACAATAGCATTCTGTTGAAATGCAACCATCGCGTACAAGGTAGACCCGGTTGTGATTGGCACAGCAGAAAACCCACGTTGTTTTATTGGCGGGAGTGCTCGTGCGTTAGAAGGCAAGGCTGTTCAATTCTACAATAGCAAAAAAGCATGGATGACAGCCCGAATATTTTCCGAGTGGGTACAAAGTTTCAGCTTAAAGATGGCTGTTCAAAATCGCAAGGTCCTGCTGCTGATTGACAATGCCTCGAGTCACAAGATTACCCGGTCATATTCAAATATCGAGGTACATTTCATCCTCCTAATCTAACGTCGTCTGTACAGCCTTTGGATCAGGGTGAGTTATATGAATCTGTGTAGCTACAGTACGATGAACTAGCTGTTGTAGTACCAAGGACTAACACTCATATTTTTTCTACTTAGACATACTTGAGGCAATCCACTTCAGCATAGATAGCTGGAGTGACGTAGAAGCGGATTGTATACGCAACGGCTGGGTTAAGTCAAGAATCGTGAACGTGGAGTTGATTGGGGAGATTTGGCAGGCAGGAGACTACACAAGGGCTGCTGAAAAGGCGATCATCGACGACATTGTGAGCATGCTAACTAGAATCGCCGTTTATGAGGACGTTGGTTGCTATTTAGAAATCGATTTAGATGCCCAAGTCCACGAGCCTATAGACGTTGACTGCAGCGGCCGTTCACTTGATGAAGATGTTAGTGACAACCAAGAAGATGACCCACCTGTACCTGCATCTACAGCCCTTGCTTATTGCGTGGAGCTTTCAACATTTCTGTTTCAGTGCGAGGGGACACTAAAGACTAGCAGAGCATGCTGTAATCTTTGACAAAGCTAGTGCGAGCGCAAGTGGTGAAGCGTAGGCGACAGCGGACACTCGACAGTTACTTTCAGCAAGATGGCTAAATGTAGCCATTTCTCTATGTGACCAATTCTATAAATGAAAAGACAATTTCTTTCCCGAGCCAATTGGGCGTCATTGATGGAGGTGTGACTGTAATATCTATCTATAAAATAAAATTCTACTCTAGCCGATCAATTTGGTCGTGCTTTGTATCGATAGCAGCGGGGTTTTTTCTTCGCCTGCTTATTTGTGTTCTCCAATACTTTGTCGTATACTTCGTAGTACTTGTAGTTTCAATGCGCTTTGCAAGCTGAATCCGGTACGTGTTCAAGACCCAGTACCAAGTCGGTCGCTTCGCCCCAACTAGTCGCCCGGGCTATTTTTCAGCCGCAGAAGCATCTTTGTTGAATTTACCATCGGGTAGTGTCTTATACCCATAATTCAACCACCTTACCATTTTGTCACCGAACGTTTTTTGCGAAATCCTTGTACACCTTGTAGTCGGTCGTACTTGCCACTGTCGCTACATCGACTTTGTCCAAGCCCAACTCGTCCCAAACTGTGGTCGCGCGCTTTCTGGCCCTGATCCACAGCTGGTTTCGACAATCTTGCTGTAGTTTTACAAATGTCAGGAGATGCTTGTAGCTCTTGTGGTGTAGTATCGCCCGGAGTTTTAAAAACTAGGAAGACCGGCAAGGTGAGGGTCAAGCCGCACAGACGTAGAGGGCGAATAGTCCCTAGCAAATTGGAGAGTGAGCAGGATCATGGGTCTGGCACTAGCCAGCGTGTTCCTCCTCAATGCTGCTGTCTCTTGATCAGAGCGACATGCAGCAGTAGAAAGTGAACACGCATTCACAGAAAGAGAAACATGCAGTAGCTCCTACTTAATCCTAGTACAGCACACAGGGACACTGGCAGTCCGAATGTATGTGATGTCGTCAGCCGGCAGGCGTCGGACACACCACCAAATTCCACCCAATGTCCTCCAGCCACTGGGGTATAGCGCTCTCTACGTCAGGGGCCGGGGCCGGAGCTACGACAGGCTGGCATGGCGACGCGGTTGGAAGTTGAGCAGCTTGATAATGAGCACACTTTGCGAGGTGAATTGCGTAGCTACGCAATCGGCCCACTAAGATCTTTGGTGGGGTAGATGATAGATCCTTATCATAAGCCGCTCTGCAGAATCTGCATTCTCAATAGCCATAGCCTCCTCCAGCCTCGCCCAGCTCTAGAAGGAGCCTGAAGTGTCTTGTCTCCCAGCCTATTGGGCGACCTGCAGCAGGACCTGCCATGCCCCTTTCCCTTACGATACTTCTGAGAAGTGTGCGGCTTCAATCCCAGCCAATCTGGACTGGCCCGACTTTGGCCGTATGGACTTAGCCCACCGGCAAAAATACGTTACGTTCTTTGATTGGCCGGATTATTAAGTCCCGGCTGCCAACACTGCCCCAAGGCGCGTCGTGCAGCACACATTTATGAGATAGATGCCGCACAGAAGGCTGCACTCATAGCACGGTGACTGTGCACCAGGGTACGCGCCCCTGTAGTCTGTGGCGGCGCTATTGAGGGTAGCTGGTCTTGGTACTGTGTACCAGCTGTACCCATTAACCGGTCAACCTGAACCGGTCCAATACGATCCCGCTGTGATTATGGTACGCTGTTTATGCCACCCATGATTGGACGAGTAGGATGATTGGACGAGTACAGAATGATTGGATGACCTAGGTAGCGAGGACAGTGTAAGCCCCGATAAATCAATCACTTTCGAATCTTCCTTCTTCCGCTCAAGTGTCTTCACTCCGGTCTCCGCACCAAGTGCAGAAGTCACTCCGTTCAGCCCCAAGCTTCGTTCCAACACATCTACACCATTAACAGGTTATAAGCCCAAGCACCATGTCCTCTGCCCATGACGCCTTGTCCAAGGTCACCATCGACAAGTTCAACGGTGACAACTACGCGACGTGGAGCCGCTACATGCGTGGCGTGTTTCTGACCAAATCAGTATGGCACGTAGTGAACCGGGAAACGACTCCGAGCTTCACGGATATCCGGACCAAGGACGACTACGTCAAGGCGACCAAAATTGCGTTCGGTCTGATGTTGCTCCACATGAACGCGGACTACCATCACGTGGTTGATGACTGCGTCTTCAAGCGCGTGGACGCGCTTGAAGACGCTGTATGGTGGGTCACAGAAGGCTGGTCGCATCTACCTGAAGCGCCAACTCCTCAGCATGGAGATGTCAAAAGGCGGCAATGTATTGCATCATTGCAAAGAGGTCCTCAACATCAGCGCCAAGCTCAGCAGCATCGGCGCCAAGATGGAGGACGATGA